TATATATATTTATATATATATATATATATATATATATATTTATATTTATAGACTTATTTATTATTAAATTACTCATTTGTTATTATTCGTATATAACATATTTTTGTGTGTATAGGTTGTTCTCCCTGAGGCCTGGAAGCGCTCCCTTCCAAAGGAACAACACGAGTGGATCGGCCGCTCCCTCTTCCGAAACCAGGGTGGAAGGGCAGTGCTGACAGATAACCTGCAGATGTGGTGGTACCCTCCCCAGCCACGTCTGCTCTATCATCAGCCTCCAGCATCGCCAGATGTGTTCTTCACCTGGCCGCTGTGTGTGTGGATGCCCTACAGGATGTGGTCCTACAAGCTGATCTGTAGCTCACCACACTGCAGACGGTCCGGTCAGCGACTGACAGCTTGTGGGCTCTACAAGACAGTGAGGCGGGTGCTGAACTTACACGGCTGGTATTTTCTGGCGACGGAATACCTGGAGTGTCAGCGCTGCCATAAAAAGCTGGCCGCATGGTCCTACGACATCCTGGACCAGCTGGATCCGGCTCACCGCAGGATGTTCCCAGCTATCCTCACTTACCGGTGAGTCATGAAAAAAAAAATGTCTTATTGTAGGCAAAAATACATAGGCAGGTGCAGTTAACTACTAAAATGTTACACCATTAACTTGGCTGTAATGGTAATAATGCAACTTAAATGACGTTAAAATAACATTTACTTTTTAAAATTAATTACACGTAATTTGTACACAAAACAAGCCTTATCTTTCTTTTGGAGTTTTTTCACAAGACACTGTGTCTGCGAGTCAAGGTTATACTCAGAATGTGTGAACGACCCTTCATTGAACTTAGCTTGACCTTTCAAAGGTGTCAAACTCAGAACAATAGCATTCCAACACCTTGAGACACTGCACCCGTCACCTATTCAGGAGTTTACGACCCCCCATTGAGCCCAGTTTTTTTGTGTGTGTGGGAAACATCACACCTTTGCTTTAGAAAAAGAATAACACTATACATTAACTTTTATAAACTTTGCCTTGGTTTGTCTGCTTATTTTAACAGGTTCTCTTGTGATATGCATGTGGCAAAGTTGATGAGGGAGCGCTCTCTCGGCAACAGCGCCACAATGCTATATCACAAACTATGTGAACAGCATAGTGAGGACTGGATGGAGAGGACCCTGCAGTACCTGTCTGCGTGTGAACGGTTTCAGGGCACCACCACACGGCCCATCACACCTCCACCTCCGATGCCACCTGTACCAACTGCCCAGTGGCTCCTCTCTGTCCACGCAGAGGATGTCCGGTCCCGGTATAGTGAGCTAAAAGCCAGGGTCACCTCTGTCTTTGGGTCCATCCTGAAAATGGACTCCACAAAACAGGTAACGTATTAATCACAGATTATTTTAAATAGATTTAAACCTTTGTATATGTAAGGCATGTTTGGAGCTCATTGAATTGTTTTGTTTTCCGACAACAGGTGGCCAAAAAACTGGCGGGAGCTGCAGCTGGGACCGCAGCCTGGGGCACCAATGTGGGCAATGAGCACGGACAGGTCCTCATGTCTGTGCTCACCTCACATGAAGGTCAGGGACTGCTGCCCATGACCACGGGCCTGGTGAGGAGGTACGAGACGGCTGGAGTCGCTCCCCCCACGCTCCTGTATGTGGACAGAGACTGCTGCTCTTCTGTGGGAACATCTAGAGCAGCTGCCATGTTCAGCGGCTGGAGTGATCTGGTGGTTCGTCTCGATGTGTGGCACTTCATGCGGCGCTTCGCTGCCGGTCTGCACACTGACAGCCACCCGCTCTATGGTCTGTTCATGGCAAAGCTCTCTGCCTGCATTTTCGTCTGGGACGAGGGAGATGTGGCCCTGCTGAGGGAAGCGAAAAGGAGGGAGCTGGAGCAACAGCAGGGCATCAGAACAGCGCCACAATGCTATATCACAAACTATGTGAACAGCATAGTGAGGACTGGATGGAGAGGACCCTGCAGTACCTGTCTGCGTGTGAACGGTTTCAGGGCACCACCACACGGCCCATCACACCTCCACCTCCGATGCCACCTGTACCAACTGCCCAGTGGCTCCTCTCTGTCCACGCAGAGGATGTCCGGTCCCGGTATAGTGAGCTTAAAGCCAGGGTCACCTCTGTCTTTGGGTCCATCCTGAAAATGGACTCCACAAAGCAGGTAACGTATTAATCACAGATTATTTTAAATAGATTTAAACCTTTGTATATGTAAGGCATGTTTGGAGCTCATTGAATTGTTTTGTTTTCCGACAACAGGTGGCCAAAAAACTGGCGGGAGCTGCAGCTGGGACCGCAGCCTGGGTCACCAATGTGGGCAATGAGCACGGACAGGTCCTCATGTCTGTGCTCACCTCACATGAAGGTCAGGGACTGCTGCCCATGACCACGGGCCTGGTGAGGAGGTACGAGGCGGCTGGAGTCGCTTCCCCCACGCTCCTGTATGTGGACAGAGACTGCTGCTCTTCTGTGGGAACATCTAGAGCAGCTGCCATGTTCAGCGGCTGGAGTGATCTGGTGGTTCGTCTCGATGTGTGGCACTTCATGCGGCACTTCGCTGCCGGTCTGCACACTGACAGCCACCCGCTCTATGGTCTGTTCATGGCAAAGCTCTCTGCCTGCATCTTCGTCTGGGACGAGGGAGATGTGGCCCTGCTGAGGGAAGCGAAAAGGAGGGAGCTGGAGCAACAGCAGGGCATCAAAGGCCTCACTGAAGAGCAGCTGACCGGCAGGCTCACCTCCAGACAGCTGGCGCAGCACTGTCGCCGCTGCACACGTGGCGTGGAGGAGACAGAGCAGCTGATCAGACAGATGCTGGAGGCCTTCAAGGACGCCAGGGAAACCATGGGCATCCCCTTGATGGACCAGGAGAGGATGGACGTCATCTGGGACACTCAAAGGCGTCATCTTCCCTGCATCCAGGACCCTCCTGGAGTGCAGCTGTACACCCAGACAGGAAGTGTTACAAAGGGAGGGCTAACACTTCCTGTGTACCGCTGCGCTCGGGGGTCCACTTCCCTGGAGTCCTTCCATAACCACCTCAACCGCTTCATACCCGGTAAGATTGCACACATCCACCTCGAGGTGGGTTTTCGTGATAGTCTATTTCATGTCATTTGTCATTTTAAATTAGTGTTAATGTTTCCAATTGTAGAGGCAGTATGTCTGGAGCTCTGCTCCATTCATCCAGCGGGGAAGGTGAAGTGGGGCGTTTCAATGAACCGCTGGCCTGCCATTCTACATGACTACCAGGCCATGCGGAGACTGGTGGGGAACTGCCCAGCACTGAGGGGACGGACAAGAATACAGCTGTTTGAGGTCAATCAGCGGACGCTTTCTGTCTGGTAAGTAGTTTCATTGAAAGCCAGCTATAAAAGTAATTTTACAATTCTCGGATTATGTTCATCCTATTAATTGTGTCATTTCAAACAGGTACAACAACTACAGGAAGAAGCTGGAGGCAGATGTGCTGGCTCTGAGTGTGCCCTTACCTCAGATCAGCATGGTGTCTCACACCCAGCTTCCTGCAGCCAGGCAGATGACGTCAATGCCCTCTGCACCTGGGTCATCGCTTCAACCTTTCCCCTATGTGGAAAACCCTGATCTGTCAGGTCAGGCCACGCGACGTGGGCAGCGACCTCCTCCCCCTGCATCAGCAACACCCGCTCTCTCTGCTCCACGGGCAGCATCCCTCTCTGCTCCACTGGCAGCATCCCTCTCTGCTCCATGGCCAGCGTCTCTCTCTGCTCCACCGGCTGCTGCCCTCTCTGCTCCAGCAGCAGGAACATCAATGAGCAGAACAACTCTGTGGAGGAAGAGGAAGGCTGCAGAGTGTTTAGCTCAAGAGCAAGGGCTGCCCCGTCCCCAGCAACCTGCGCGAAAAGATTACACGTGCACTCGATGTGGGCAGCCCAGAAAAAAAGAGTTTGGGCACACCAGGGTGGGCAGCTTCTACTTCTGTGCCACAGCAGAGGGAAAGACACTAGAAGAGTGGCTGCATGAGAAGAGGAATGAAGGAAATCCTTAAATAGTTTTGTTACAATATTTTGTTTTGTTTGTAAATATTGTACATATCTTTTGCTTATTATCTTATATCCAATATCTTATTTGTATTTAATAAAGATTGTGTAAGTAGTCCAAAATGATTGTCCTTTATTTCAAAAGGTTTATCTGCCTACATAAAGGACATATAAAGTTTCCTGAATAATTATTTATTTTAGAACACTTTATGACTGTTCTTTTTTTTAGAACATTTATTTGTCGTCATAAAGGCCATGCAAACGGTCCTAAATATGTATTCTTTATTTTAGAACATTTAATGACTGTTCTTTTGTTTGAGAACATTTATTTGCCCTCATAAAGGTTACATTAATAGATCAAAACCTTCAGGTTTATTTGCCTTCACAAAGGCCATGTTAATAGTCCCAAATGACCGCTTTATTTTAGAACATTTATTTGCCTTTATGAAGGTCATGTTAACTGTCTCAACCATTTATTTTATTTGTGTAGCTTTTTAAAATGATTCATTAGCATTCTAATGTTCCTATTTTTTTTTTTTTAATTGCTATATACATTTTTTTAAATAAACTTTATTATAAAGGTATGAACTAAGTTGAATTTATTTAATCCCCTAAATACATCTCAGTCTGTTTTTTGTTTATTTATTGAGTAGTTCACACTAGAAACAAAATATAAAAAGTATTAAATATATAATTGTGAACAAATTACTAAACACAAATAACAGAAAAAAATAACAGCAGAAACAGTACAACAGAATTTAAGATAATCAAAGATTTATTAAATAGTTCACACTAGAAAAAATAAAGGATAAAACAATAAATGTAAACTGAATGCAAATATTAAAACGGGAAAAAAATTAACAGCAGAAACAGTACAACAAAATTAACAAAGAAAAGATTTATTAAATAGTTCACACTAGAAAAAATAAATAAAGGGTAAAAAATAAATAAATGTAAACTAAATGCAAATATTAAAACGGGAAAAAAATTAACAGCAGAAACAGTACAACAAAATTAAAGATAATAGAAAAGATTTATTAAATAGTTCACATTAGAAAAAAATTATAAAATGTATGATATTAATATAAAAATGTAAGAAACAGTATAACAAGTTAAAAAATAGTTAACTTAAAGATAGTAACTTTAGTTTTTAAAGATCCTGTAAATTGTAAAAAGGATATAAATGTACATAAAATACTAAATACAAATATTAAAATAAAACAAATCAACAGCGGAAGCAGTATAACAAAATTAACAAAAATAATAAAATATTAAGATAAAGAAAACAAAAACACAGTGGCAATTATTTAGGGGGAGCAAGAGACCGCTGCTCTGCCAGCCAAAGTTCCACAGTCTTGCCCTCATAACTGCTGCAGAAGGATTTGCCACCGTACCGTGAGTGTCCATAATCCTTGGTTTTTGGCTGCCGACACAGAGAGCAAGTCAGCGGTTTGCATTCCTTTGGCCTTTTCTGAGGCAGGCCCTGTGCAATGGCTTCCTCTCTCTTCTTTTTCCTCCAGGCAGTTGTCCGAGGCACGTCGTCAACACTGTCTGCGGCTGCAACCCTCTTCTGCTCAGAAAGCCATTGAGAAACTGTCTTTCCAGCTGCGGTGGCACAGAAACTTTTTCCTCTGAAGAAACTGTGACCAAACTCCAGTCTCTTTGGTTGTCCGCACAACCTGCATGGATATCCCTTTGGATCTGCTCGCCGTGCAATGGCTTTGTTGTGCATTAGGGCCTTTTTGTCCTCTTCGGCCCTCTTCTTTCTTCTCCAGGCTGTGGCCCTTGGCACCCGTTTAAGGGCTGCATCAGCTACAGCTGATGGAGGAGGGAGCACAGCCAGCGATGCGCATGTAGGAACTGTATAAGGCAAAAATACATACATATATAGATATTAGACATTTGTTGCTTCTTACATGAATTTATTCTTTTACATTCTTTCATAGTTTAAAGATCTCACCTGATACTCTGACATCCTTAAGCACTGGAGGCCACTGCTGACTGGTGGATGGGGTGGCTTGCGGAGAAGACTCTCTCTGCAGGCCTTTCCTAGACCGTCTAGTGGATGGGGTGGCTTGCGGAGAAGACCTTCTCTCCAGTCTTTCCCGGAACCATCTCCTCCTTTCGCTTTCCTCCAAAGAAATCACTGGAGGCCAGTGAGGTTTGCAAAATGTCTGTTTTTTTTGCTCTTTTTCTGACTCTGCCCTCTGGACTCGCAAAGCCGGGTTGTCCAGGTCCATTGACAGCCTCTGGCGGAATTTCTTGCGTCGTTCCTGCTCTCTTTTTGAAATTACAGGAGGCCATCTCTGTTTTCTGGCCATTAAAATGCACAATAACACTGCCCTCTGAAGAATATTGACTCTTGAAATCAAACTGGCTGACATCTCAAATTGTGGGGTCACAACACTTATATTCACGTAGGTGGGTGGGGTCAAGATGCACAGGGGGTCACACAGGGGCCAACAGAGAAGATTGGCCAGGATCTTT